ATTATTAGTAATAATAATGGTAATTATCTAATTTATTGTTAAATATTTAATCTTAATTATTTATTATTAATGATATTATAAATTATATAGTATCTAAACAAATTGAATTAACTATGTCAGATTCTAAACAAATTGAATTAACCATACCAGAATAAATTTTATTTACCTGATTATTGAAATTTTCACATTAGTTTTTTTATTATTATCAAAAAAAATTTTTTTAATGATTATATGCTATTTATTTTAAATTAAAGCAATCTATCATAGTGGTGTATCCATTGATTATCTGGGTATTTGAGTACTTGGTCAATCAATAATAATAAATCTCAACACCTGGATAATCAGTCAATCAAAAAAATTCAAAACAATTAACTGGATAATTGGTGAATATCATTTGGTGATACAACCACTAACCTATCACCATGTTTCTTATCATCATTTAGTATTATTCATTTATTATTTTATTAGTATTTTTATATTCAAAATTTATATATACAGTTTTAACATTTTTATCATCTATTAACACTATAAATAATAATAATAAAAATGATCATTGTGAGATAAAAACCTGTGCTCACACATCAGGAAAATGGGTACAAATATTATGCATATATAATACGCAAATTGCAGGGATTAAGCATATAATACATGTACAATTTGCATACATAAAAAAATACGCGATTTGTACGCATATTATATTGGGGTGTGTGTCATTCTAAGAAAATCAAAATTAATTAATGTCATATATTGATTGGTTATGTGTGATTTTTTTTTGTGATCTGCATATCACTTACAGAATTTCCGAAATTTACATAAAGAACATAGTAAACATATTGTTTTCAAAACACTACTCCTCCATTTTCAAAGATATAGCCATTAAATTTCCATGAAAGGTAGTATATACATTATACTTTAGAGCTATGGAAAGATTTAATGGATTAAAAATACCAGTTGTGTAAAAAAGCTCATTCAAAATACAGAAAATTTCTTTCTTTATTGTAATACTTCTATCTATTGCAACTTCTGAAAAAATTGTATGAAATAAAGATTCTCTCTCCATAGCACTGTTCTACAAATG